TATTCCAGAGTGATGGTGCCACTGCTGTGAAGGCTCTGCGTCTGGTTGCTGTTAGACGCAAGGTCTTGACATTGGGAATTTCCAATAGATCTTGGTCCTCAGAACGGAGGGATCTCTGGGGTTGGTAGGGGGTGAGGCGGTCCCTCGGGTACATCGGCCCCAGACCATGCCAGGCCTTAAAGGTGAGTACCATCACTTTGAAAAGTGATCCGGTGCTCAATTGGTAACCAATGCAGCTGTAGTAAGATTGGGGTTATGTGGCATCTCATCGGAATTCCCGCAAGAAGCCGAGCAGCTGCATTTTGTACCAACTTGAGCTTCCGGATCACCGACAGAGGAAGGCCAATGTAGAGGGCGTTACAGTAGTCCAGTCTTGAGATGACCGTGGCCTGGATCACCGTAGCTAGGTCGTCCCTGGACAGGGAGGGGCCAGCTGTCTAGCCTGCCGCAGGTGAAAGAAGGCGGTTCTGCTCACGGCGGAGACCTGGGCCTCCATCGTTAGCAGAGGGTCCAAAAGGACTCCCAGACTCTTTACCAATGATGACGGGCGTAGCGCCTCGCCATCCAGGGTAGGCAGCTGGATATCCCCACTGCCCGGTCGACCCAGCCATAGGATCTCCGTCTTTTGAGCCTGCCACTTTTGGACTCTTGCTTGCTGAGGTGTTCCAGCTAGTGTCTCTGTAGATCTTAGAAAACTATTTCTTGATTGACGTGCTGGCTGAATTCACCCTCAACCTGCTGGCACGCAACCATCCAGTAACAGCCTCGAGGCACTGATGGAAACAATCAGGTTTCTCCCCTATGAACTATCAAGGTTATTAAGGTTTCTCCCCTATGAACTATCAAGGTTATTAAGGATTCTCCCCTATGAACCATCAAGTTTGTTAAGATCTTCTGGAGGGGCCCTGCTCTCGGTCCCACCACTCTCGCAATCGCGTCTGGTGGGGACAAGGGACAGGGCCTTTTCCGTGGTGGCCCCTCGGCTCTGGAACTCTCTCCCACTGGAGATTAGAATGGCCCCTTCTCTCCTGACTTTTAGAAAATTGGTGAAAACTTGGATCTGTAATTTAGTATTTGATGAGTGAGTCAATAACTCTTGACCACATGGACGGATGGTGACGAATTGTGATTTCATTTTGACGACTTGGCCTTATGTAATTATATGATTGCTTTTTAATGTATTTTATGTATTCATGTGTTATGGGGTCTGACGTTTTAAACTATTGTTTATGAATCTTGTTGTAAACCGGCCTGAGTCCCTCTCCGGAGGTCCAGAAGACCGGTATATAAAAGTTGTAAATAAATAAATAAATAAATAATAAGAGCATCGGATAAGAAGGAATATTGGATATGCGAAGGTTGGATAAGTGAGACTCTACTGTAGATGAAAATCTGCAACTCTGTGTCCACATATTTCTGGGAAGGTAGCCTTACAACGGGTTCCTCTTTGAGGCTAGAAACCTTATCTTGTCCTATCTAGAGTTACTGAAATGAAGGGGGGGGGGGGTATTTAAAGCATTCCTTTAAATCCTATTGACTGCAATGGGTCTACTTGAGAGTAAATTTTGCATCTCTCTAGCATCCCATTGCTTTTTCGGGGCATAGAAGGTCTTGGATGTGTCTACGGGAAGGAATATATTATTCTAGCGATGATTGTGTTTCTAGCTCTTCCTACCCAAATTTATGTAAATGAAGGCAAATGCATTAGTTCATTTTAAAAACAAATCAAATGGTTTCTTTTTTGATATTATATATGTATATGTCAGCTACCTTGGCAGCCACCTCTCCACCAAAGTCAACATCGACACCGAAATACAACACTGCCTGAGCTCTGCGAGTGCAGCATTTTCCCGAATGAAGCAGAGAGTGTTTGAGGACCAGGACATCCGTTGGGATACCAAGGTGCTTGTCTATAAAGCTATTGTCCTCCCAACCTTGCTATATGCCTGCGAAACGTGGACTGTCTGCAGACTTCACATGCAACTCCTGGAACGATTCCATCAGCGCTGCCTCCGGAAAATCCTGCAAATCTCTTGGGAAGACAAGCGGACAAACGTCAGCGTGCTGGAAGAAGCAAAGACCACCAGCATTGAAGCGATGGTCCTCCGCCATCAACTCCGCTGGACCGGACATGTTGTCCGGATGCCTGACCACCGTCTCCCTACTCTAAACTTAAGAATGGAAAATGGAATGTTGGTGGACAGGAAAAGAGATTGAAAGATGGCCTCAAAGCCAACCTTAAAATGTCTGGCATAGACACTGAGAACTGGGAAGACCTACCCCTTGAGCGCTCCAGCTGGAGGTCAGCTGTGACCAGCAGTGCTGCAGAATTCAAGGAGGCACGAGTGGAGGGTGAAAGAGAGAAACGTGCCAGGAGGAAGGCGCGTCAAGCCAACCCCGACCGGGACCGCCTTCTAACTGGAAACCAATGCCTTCACTGTGGGAGAAGATGCGGGTCAAGAATAGGGCTCCACAGACACCTACGAATCCACAAGGAAACCCATCATGGAAGACCATCTTACTCGTTCAACGAGGGATCGCCTAAGTAAGTAAGTAAGTAAGTAAGTAAGTAAGTAAGTAAGTAAGTAATATATCTATATATCTATCAAGTCACCTTAGATCAGTGTTTCTCAACCTTCCTAATGCCACGACCCCTTAATACAGTTCTTCATGTTGTGGTGACCCCCAACCATAAAATTATCTTCGTTGCTACTTCACAACTGTAATTTTGCTACTGTTATGAATCATTGTATAAATATCAGATATGCAGGATATATTTGATACAAATATGCGATATGTCCAAATTTGAATACTGGTGAGGTTGGCGGGGGGGGGGGGGGAATAACTGATTTTGTCATTTGTGAGTTGTAGTTCCTGCGATTTATAGTTAACCTACAATCAAAAAGCATTCCGACCTCCACCAATGAGGGAATTGAACCAAACTTGACACACAGAACTCCCATGACCAAGAGAAAATACGGGAAGGGTTTGGTGGGCATTGACCCTGAGTTTTGGAGTTGTAGTTCACCTACATCCAGAGGGCACTGTGGACTCAAGCAATGATGGGTCTAGACCAGCGTTTCTCAACCTGGGGGTCAGGACCCCTGGGTGGGTCATGAGAGGGTGTCAGAGGGGTCGCCAAAGACCATCAGAAAACGCAGTATGTTCTGCTGGTCGTCTGGGTTCTGTGTGGAAAGTTAGGTCCAATTCAAAGTTGGTGGGGTTCAAAATGATCTTTGATTGTAGGTGAACTTTAAATCCCAGCAACTACAACTCCCAAATGTCAAGGTCTATTTTCCCCACACGCCGCCAGTGTTCCCAAGAGAAAATACGGGAAGGGTTTGGTGGGCATTGACCTTGAGTTTTGGAGTTGTAGTTCACCTACATCCAGAGGGTACTGTGGACTCAAGCAATGATGGGTCTAGACCAGCGTTTCTCAACCTGGGGTCAGGACCCCTGGGTGGGTCACGAGAGGGTGTCAGAGGGGTCACCAAAGACCATCAGAAAACATAGTATGTTCTGCTGGTCGTCTGGGTTCTGTGTGGAAAGTTAGGTCCAATTCAAAGTTGGTGGGGTTCAAAATGATCTTTGATTGTAGGTGAACTTTAAATCCCAGCAACTACAACTCCCAAATGTCAAGGTCTATTTCCCCACACGCCGCCAGTGTTCACAAGAGAAAATACGGGAAGGGTTTGGTGGGCATTGACCTTGAGTTTTGGAGTTGTAGTTCACCTACATCCAGAGGGCACTGTGGACTCAAGCAATGATGGGTCTAGACCAAACTTGGCACGGATACTCAATGTGCCCAAATATGAACACTGATGGAGTTCGGGGGGAAACAGACCTTGACATTTGTGAATTGTAGTTGCTGGGATTTATAGTTCACCTACAATCAAAGAGCATTCTGAACCCCACCAATGCTAGAATTGGGCCAAACTAACCCAACATGGAACCCTCATAACTAACAGAAAATACTGTGTCTTCTGATGGTCTTTGGTGACCCCTCTGACATCTCCTCACGACTCCCCCCCCCCAGGGGTCCCGACCCCCAGGTTGAGAAACACTGCCTTAGATCCACAGTTTCTGTCTTCGGAAAAAAGAAGCCACGGCGACAGGGTTGTGGTTGTTTTTAATAGGATACATGGAACAGAATTTGGCGAGAGAAGAAGGGAACGAGAAAAAAAGGGAAAGAAAGAGAGAGAGAAAAGACAGAACAGGGGCGACTTGTTCTCCCCTCCTTTCGCCACTCAAAAAAGAAAACAACAGAAACAAAACATCATCTTCCACTGACTGGGGTTAAAGGTAAACGCCTCAGTTGCTACAGACTCGGGGTCAGCACAACGACTCGGGACGGAATACTACAAATCTATTTCTTAAAAAAACTGTATATATTTCAGTGTTTGTTCAAAACCACAAGAAAACTTTTGGGCCGGAGCTGGAAGTTCAGCCCCAAAGCTGAATTCCCCTCCCTCCCCGAAATATCCTACCACTATAGCATCATTTTTTTTCCTTGCAAAGACACAGCTCAAGAAGAAGACCCATTGGAGTGAAGGATTCCAACGTTCGCCCGGTACCGAATGAAAAGAATTCATTTGGGTTGGTTTGCAAGATTTAAAGAGATACAAAATGGGAAGCTGAGGAAGAAAAAAGGAAAGGAAGAAAAGGAAGTTTATGTTTTGTTTTACCCTTGTAATGCCAGATAGATATAAAATACGGAGCGTGAAATTTTTCGCAAAGAATGAAAGAAAGGAAACAATGGTCTTTCAGTGGATTTCTCCCTTCGATGGGGAGCAAATTGACATCCGCACTCAGCAAGGGAGTACTACAACCCACTTGACAATTATTATTATTTTTCATTTGCTTTGGTTCCACAAAGCCCATGTGAGTTAAATTATTATTTTTTGTCCCAAAGAAAAAGAAAGTCATTCTTCTCCACTGCTTTACGTCACAACCCACAGGTGCCTGGCTCTCCTTGTGAGATTGCCCAAGCATATTATTCTACACTTTTGCGACGTCTGCTGAGAACATAAATTCAAAAAAAATAATAATAATCCCCAAATGATAGAATGATATTATTTTGGAACAGCCAACAAGTCTAACATGGCTGGTACAACAATGCAAATTTTTGGGCAGTTCTTTGGCTTTTCGCCTGGGACAGAACAGTTGGATGGGTCGGCGGCTAAGTTAGGGTTCTCGACTGCGGTTCCAGAGGTAAGGTTCCATCAAGACGTCTCTCCGTCAGCTCTCCAAAGCTGGCTACGTCGATTCATGTTGGCTCATAGATTTGCCACCGTTTAGCACGCCGGAGACACTTCTGCTTTTCGTGGGCGTCCCGCTGCCGGATCGTGAAAACTCTGTGAGATCATGGAGGGAGGGTTCTTTGTACATGGCCACTGGGAGAGAAGAAAGAAGTTGTTTTAGAAATCAAGGAGATGCATGGGCAACCTCATATGCAAGTTAAAAGACTTGGACTCACAGTCTAGTCCAGTATTTATTTATTTATCTATTTACCTCATTTATATACCGCTTTTCTCAGTCGTTAGGTGACTCAAAGCGGTTAACAGCAGCAATTTCAATGCACACATTACAAAACCATTGGAACATTTAAAAACAATAGCATAACAACAATTAAACATCAATATGACAAAGCATTCGCGTCCCGTCAATACAATCAGAATCCATCTCATCATCCGTTATTCCGTGTTCCTGTAATCAATTACACTGCCTAATCGAATGCCTGTTCGAACAACCAGGTCTTCACTTTCCTCCGAAATGCCAATAAGGAGGGGGCCGATCTGATATCTGTAGGAAGGGTGTTCCACAGCTGAGGGGCCACCACTGAGAAGGCCCTGTCTCTCATCCCCGCCAGGCATGCTTGTGATGCCGGTGGGACCGAGAGCAGAGCCTTCCCAGATGATCTTAATGTCCTAGCTGGTTCATAGGAGGAGATGCGTTCGGACAGGTAAGTCGGGTTAGAACCATTTAGGGCTTTATAGGCTAAAGCCAGCACTTTTGAATTGTGCCCGGTAGCAAATTGGCTATGAATTGTGCCCAGTAGCAATTTGGCAGCCAGTGGAGCTGGCGCTACAGATGAATTGTATGCTCCCTGAGTGCCGCTCCTGTTAGCAACCTGGCTGCCAAGCGTTGGACCATTTGAAGCTTCCGAGCAGTCTTCAAAGGCAACCCCACATAGAGAGCGTTGCAGTAGTCTATACGGGATGTAACCAGAGTGTGAACTACCGTGGCCAAGTCAGACTTCCCAAGGTATGGGCACAGCTGACGCACAAGTTTTAACTGTGCGAATGCTCCCCTGGTCACCAGGGTTCTCGAACTTCCTCATGCTGCGACCCCTTAATACAATTCTGCATGTTGTGGTGACCCCCAACCATAACATTATTTCCATTGCTAATTCACAACTGTCATTTTGCTACTGTTATCAATCGTAATGTAACTATCTGATATGCAGGATGTATTTTGATTCACTGGACCAAATTTGACATAAATATCCAATATGCCCAAATTTGAATACGTGAGGAGTTTGGGGGGTGGTGGTGGTGGGGTTGATTTTGTCATTTGGGAGTTGTAGTTGCTGGGATTTACAGTTCACCTGTAATCAAAGAGCATCCCTCCCGACTGGCTTCGACTCCTTGGATTGTAATATACCTTGTTATTTTGGTTTTTATGTATCATGCTTTTGGATTTCCTGTATCTTGACATCTTTGATTTTCATGGACATTACTATTGAGAGCTACTGCTCTTTGTATTCTGGACTATTCCTATTTTATAGCACCTTTTCTACTGCCGTTTGGGAAATACCCTTTTCCCTTTTTGTATTTGCCTTTTACAAATAAACTTCTCTAGTTGGCAGCTACTGGACTCTGTTTGAATGCTGGGTAAAAAGGTGTTCCTGACTTAGCGTGCAACACCAACTTGTATGAGAAACACTATTTATTTTGGACTCAGGCTGATGTACTAGTGAACAAGTCTGCAAAGTCTCCAGGATTCATTTGTCTTTTGGGTCTTTTTTTACTACAACCTCAAAAATTCCCTAGCCAGCAGATTCAGTAACTTTTGCAAGATCTTGGAGGTCTTGTTCTCCTTCAAACCCCACTTGTTTTGTTTCCAAATAACATTACCTTTCAATGGTTTGGGAAGGAAATGTGCGGCGGGCTTGTTTTTCTTGACATGGTTTCCTTTCATGATTTCCCCTTCTTTGTTAAGACCCAAATACCAGCCTCTGCCTGACTGCTGTTGTCTGTAGATCATGGACGAATATGTGACGTAGTAGTTTTCAAACACCGATTCTTTGAACTTGCATTCTGGAGTGAAATGTTCCTGCAAGGAAGAAAAAAAAGAACAAGTTGGGGAGGTAAGAAGGCGAAGAAAAAGATCAGTGTGTGCTATGTGGTATGGCTGAAATCTTACAGCAGATCTATGTAGTGGAGGTCCCATGTGTATTTAAACTTGATTTGTACCTCGCTACCATCTCCCCAAGGGACTTGGTGCGGCTTACGTGAGGCCGAGCCCACAATACATCAGCAAAACAACAACAACAGTAATACAAAACAATAAAATAAAACTCATAAACAAAAAAAGGCAATAAACATCAACAATAACACAATAACATTTAAAAACCTATGGCTGGGCCAAATGTAATAATTAAAATTTGAAAAATAATGCTGAGCAAGACCAGGTGAAATATAACTAGGATCGAATTTCGGAAAAAGAATGGGGCATACAGACAGTCCTAGATCACTAATAAAGTGCAATTAGGGACATATTGCTGGGAGTTTCCTTATTCTGGGAAGGCACACTGGAACAACCACGTTTTCAGGATCCTCCTAAAGACCGCCAAAGTTGTGGCATGTCTGATGTCCTTGGGGAGTGAGTTCCAGAGTCGGGGGGCCACCACCGAGAAGGTCCTCTCCCTCGTCCTCACCAATCGCGCCTGCGATGGAGGTGGGAACGCGAACAGGGCCTCTCCAGATGATCGAAGAGATCGTGTGGGTTCGTACACAGAAATGCAGTCACGCAGGTAGGCGGGTCCCAAACCGTTCAGGGCTTTGTAGGGAAGAACCTGCACCTTGAATTGGGACCGGAAAATGAACGGCAGCCAATGGAACTCCTTAAACAGGAGGGTTGACAGCTCCCTGTAAGGAGCCCCAGTTAACAACCTGGCCGCTGCCTGTTGGACCAGTTGAAATTTCCGGGCTGTTTTCAAGGGCAGCCCCACGTAGAGTGCATTACAGTAGTCCAATCTAGAGGTGATTAAGGCATGGACCACTCTGGCCAGATCCGACGTCATGAGGTACAGTCACAGCTGGCACACGAGTCTTAATTGTCCGAAAGCCCTCCCAGCCACTGCCGACGCCTGAGCTTCAAGCATCAATGATGAGGCCAGGAGGACACCCAAACTGTGGACCTGTGACTTCAGGAGGAGCGCAACTCCCTCCAACACAGGTTGCCACCTTATACCCTGATCTAGCCCGATCTGCTTCACTGGGCAATATCCAGTGACTATGCTGGCAATCCCAATGAGAACAATGGCTACATTGAAGACTGCTATGTGCCATCAAAGAATGAGCAACTGAATAGCTGGAATCTAGTTGGCCAGTTCCAAATTGGATAGCTCCGTTGGATCTATTGGTGGATGAACCTAAAAGTTGACTCATTTGATTCCATAGCTCTACTTTTAGGGGACTTACAATAGATTTCAGGCCCACATGAAATGGGAACTTTGGTGGACCTCCATTTGTACAACAACAACAACAACAACAACACTACAAAGTATGGATCATCGATGTCGCAATCCCAGGTGACAGCAGGATTGCAGAGAAACAACTGGAAAAGCTGACACGATATCAGGATTTAAAAATCCAACTGCAAAGACTCTGGCACAAACCAGTAAAGGTGGCCCCAGTGGTGATCAGCACACTGGATGCAGTGCCTAAAGACCGTGGCTTGCACTTAAACACAATTAGTGCTGACAAAATTGCCATCTGCCAGCTGCAAAAGGCCACCTTACTGGGATCTGCATGCATTATTCGCCGATACATCACACAGTCCTAGACACTTTGGAAGTAACCAACATGTGATCCAATTCAACAGCCAGCAGAGTGTCTGCTGTGGACTCATCTTGTTGTGTTTCAAATAATAATAATAATAATAATAATAATAATAATAATAATAATAATAATGCCACCATCTGCCTGTGACAAAGAACTGGTGGGATCACAAGCCTGAAAAAGTCACACAAAATGAACACTCTGGGACTTCTGAATTCAGACTGACAGAGTTTTGGAGCACAAGACTTCTGACCTCACGATCGTGGAGGAAAAAAAAACAGGTATGGATCATTGATGTTGGAATCCCAAGCAATAGCAGGATTGAAGAGAAACAACTGGAAAAGCTGACACAACATGAAGATAGAACTGCAAAGACTTAAGCCAGCCGAGGTGGTTCCTTCCAGTGGTGATTGATTGGCACACTGGGTGCAGTGCCTAAAGACCTTGGCTTGCACTTAAAAACAATCAGCGCTGACAAAATTACCTCCTGTCAGCTGCCAAAGGGCGCCCTACTCGGATCTGCATGCATTATTTACTCATACATCACACAGTCCTAGACACTTGGGAAGTGTCCGACGTGTGATCCAATACAAAAGCCAGCAGAGTGATCTTGTTTGCTGTGTACTAATGTTGTTATGTATATAATAATAATAATAATAATAATAATAATAATAATAATAATAATAATAAAGAATTGGTGGGATCATAAACCCGCAACGGTCATGGAAAATGAACATGCAAAAATACTGTGGGGCTTTCGAATCCAGACTGACAAAGTTTTGGAACACAATACACTGGACATCATGATTGTGGAAAAGAAAAAAGTCTGGATTATTGATGTCACCATACCAGGTGACAGTCACATTGAAGAAAAACAACAGGAAAAATTCAGCCGCTATCAAGACCTCAAAATCGAAGTGCAAAGGCTCTGGCATAAACCAGTACAAGTGGTCCCAGTGGTCATTGGCGCACTGGGTGCCATGCCAAAAGATCTCAGCCGGCATTTGGAAACAATAAACATTGACAAAATCACAATCTGTCAACTGCAAAAGGCCACCTGCACGCATCATTCGAAAATACATCACACAGTCCTAGACGCTTGGGAAGTGTTCAACTTGTGATTTTGTGATACGAAACCCAGCATATAGATCTTGTTTGCTGTGACATACTGTGGTTTTGTGTCAGTAAAATAATAATAATAATAATAATAATAATAATAATAATAATAATAATAAACCCCAGGTATGGATCATCGATGTTGCAATCCCTGGTGATAGTAGGAAGGACAAGAAGCAACTGAAAAAGCTGCCATGACATGAGGAATTGAAGATAGAACTGCAAAGACATAAGCCATCCAAGGTGGTTCCAGGGGTGATTGGCACACTGGGTGCAGTGCCTAAAGACCTTGGCTTGCACTTAAAAACAATCATTGCTGACAAAATTACCATCTGTCATCTGCAAAAGGCCACCCTACTGGGATCTGCACACATTATTTGCCGATACATCACACAGTCCTAGACACTTGGGAAGTGTCCGACGTGTGATCCAATACAAAAGCCAGTAGAGTGATCTTGTTTGCAGTGCCTGAAGACCTTGGCCTGCATTTAAACACAATTGGCGCTGACAAAATTACCATTTGCCAATTGCAGAAGGCCACCTTACTGGGATCTGCATGCATTATTCGCCGATACATCACACAGTCCTAGACACTTGGGAAGCGTCCGACGCGTGATCCAATTCAACAGCCAGCAGAGTGTCTGCTATGGACTCATTTTGTTGTGTTTCAAATAATAATAATAATAATAATAATAATAATAATAATAATAATAATGTATTGTTGAAGGCTTTCATGGCCGGAATCGCTGGGTTGCTGTAGGTTTTTTCGGGCTGTATGGCCATGGTCTAGAGGCATTCTCTCCTGACGTTTCACCTGCATCTATGGCAAGCATCCTCAGAGGTAGTGAGGTCTGTTTTTTTCTACTTCCAACAGACCTCACTACCTCTGAGGTTGCTTGCCATAGATGCAGACGAAACGTCAGGAGAGAATGCCTCTAGACCATGGCCATACAGCCCGAAAAAACTTACAGCAGCCCAATAATAATAATAATAATAATAATAATAATAATAATAATAATAATAACAACAACAACAGCAGCAGCAGTAGCAACAGAACAACATTTCATTGATATAACATTTTATTTAACATTTTATTTGTATCATCCCAAGGGGACTCAGGGGGAATTCCAGCACACACACGCACATGCACACGCACACGCACACACAGAGGAAAACATTTGATGCCTTGAAACAATGAAACAAGTACACAGACACAGTCAAAGACAAAGGCTTCTCCTTTCATCTCCGGCTCTGGGGGAGATGCTCATCTCCATTTCCAAGCTGAAGAGCCTGTGTTGTTCGTAGACAGCTCCTAGGTCGTGTGGCCCGCATGACTGTATGGAGCACGGTTTACCTTCCTGCTGAGGTGATACCTATTGATCTACCTACATTTGCATGTTTTTGAACTGCTAGGTTGGGCAGGAGCTGGGGCTAACAGCGGGAGCTCACCCTGTCCTGCAGATTTAAACTGCCAACCTTCCAGTCAGCAAACTCAGCTGCTCAACAGTTTAACCCGTTGTGCTACCGTGGCCCCTGAGCTAAATATGGCTCAAAAAGCATAACCACATGAGTAAGGAAACTCATACTCAGCCTCTCTGAGTCTCCTTCAGGGTGAGAAGGTCATAAATAATAATAAATAATAAATAACAAGGTTGTGGACAACGTCTTCTAGTAACAAAATGATTTCATATATTTTCAGTGTTTCCATTCCCACATATCTTTCTGAATGCAGAACAGCAGCCTTCAAATGAATCTGAGCAAGACATAATGCAATTTTAAGCCTGCGGATGGGCTTGGGGAACAACCTGAAGGCAGTCTTGTAATATAACCTTAAGTGAAAAGTATTGATCCGAAAAACAATCTCATTATCAGATCAGAGGCATCTATAAAAAACCAATAACGGGATAGGATTGTGATGGGGATGTATTGCCTAGGGAGAATGCCAAACTAATGCTAGCTGCATCAATAGGCTTTTACCAATGGACCGATTTTAAAACAATGGCCATAAAAATCTATATAAATAAAAATGTAATGTTCGTTTGTGGGATTAACAGAACTCAGAAACCGCTGGGGAAATTGGCACCAAATTTGGACACGATACACCTAACAACCCAATGTATGTTCTCCACTCAAAAAACCCCATGAAAACAAAAA